TGATTCCATCTATTTAAAGTAGGAAACAAAACAAAGATCAGGCAGAAATATAATGTTTACGGAACTTTTCTTAGATGGTTACGAAGTGCAAGGAAATTATACTTCAGACTATAATTTACTTTGTAGGTTAGGGGAGGAAAATGATCAGGAAAGGCAGGAGGGGACTTAAAATTTTCCTGTGAATCCTACTTCTGAGTCTGGCGATTCTAGGGGAGCTCACTTCATGAAACTAGAGTTGTACATTTTTGTTTCATACACTTTGTTACATTTTGTGATAAAAAATATTTTGAGGGGCTTCTGAGTGGATTAGTTGGTTAAGTGTCCAACTCTTCTGGCTCAGCCAAAGCGTTTAGGCTCCTGTCATGACCTCACAGTTCGTGAGTTTGAGACCCACATCAGGCTCATCAGGCTCTGTAACAATAGTGGGGAGTCTGTTTGGAATTCTCTCTCTGCCCCTCCTGCACGCTCTCAAAATAAATAAACTATACATAGTTACCCAGAGCTAAACTTTCTGATTTTGAGTGGGTCCTCCAAAACTAGAGACAGCTCTCTAGGTCAGGTAATGTAAAACCTTAGGGACTCTTCTCATTGAAAGAAATAATTCTTTGTTCAAAACTATTTGGATTGAACTCTGCTTTGCACTTAATTTTGACCAAACTCAGGAAACTCAAAGAATTCAAACTAAATTATGAACTCACCTGGAGTTTTCATGTTCTTCTCAACTCTGTTAAAAAACAAAGAGGATAGGAAAGTAATCTATTCTCAACTCAACTCAGGCCACCACCTAGGAAAAGTTTCAATTATTGAATTTTTCAGTGCCTGAGATTATGGATCAAGTTGTGTCTCATCAGGTTCAGCCAATCTGAGTTCAGAACATCTGGGTTGCTTTTATATTTAAAATCAGTTTTAAAAGATTACCATCTCCAGTTAATGCAAGAAAAACATTCTAGGGTTGAAGCCTCATATTGTGTGAATGAAACATCTGAGGACAGGAAAACACCAATTCTTATTGGACACTGGATTACTCCAGTACCAGTGACCATGGTCTATCAGTAGGAACACTCTTCCATAAGTCACCTCGTACAATTAGAATTACAGTAGTCTTACCTAACATAGCTCCTTCCAATGACAATGCAGTCACTATGCTTGCTCTCAAGACTCCAAACCAAACTTTCTCCTTATGTGCAAATACTACTTGTTTCTCCTTTTTTTAACATATAAAAGTTTCTGCTCATGTTCACATTAGAATGCACCTTGGTAGAATAAGCTTCTCAGCTGAGGATCTGATAGAACTTTGTGTCTATAAGAGTAATTGTTTTGATTATAAATAGGCCAAAAGGAAGAAATAGTTGTGGATTTCCCCCAAAACTTTATATTGTTTCTATATAAGATTCATGTGTATCTAGTGTGTGGAAATATTTGCATGAATATAAAAGTACACTTCCCTTGGGTTACTGACTTCAATATTCAGTATTGGTTTATGTATATAAGGACTCTAGACTTCTCACCAAGGGAGAATCTGCCATGCCCAAACCTCAATAACGTATCCAAGGGCAGCTTGCTTTTTGCTCTCATTCAAACCTAAAGTCACAAAGGGAAAATATCCATAGTTAGACAAATTTTCTCTACCTGTATCCAATATATTGATCTAATTGTTGGGTTCACAGCAATAGCAACTATCTGTTGAAAACACTTAAACATCCTATGAAATTTAATCAGCAAATGCATACATTCACTTTGACTTACCTAGCTTAAATTGATTTCATAGCAAGCAGCTTGAACTAAAATGCCTACAGATCAGTTGGGGAACAAAAACATGTATCAACTATGGGATATAAGTGGAGGCAACCTTGCCTTTTAAGCTGATCCAGAGTTCAGGGCTGTAGGAGTCTGCTATCTGCTCTCCTTTGTATTCCACTGGGGGGTCATCACCTAAATTACTGTTCCATTGGAGGCAAATCAGGAGTCTATGCTGTTTTAATTTGTTAAAGTTATCAATTTACTGTTAAATTTATTTAACTTACTAAATGTATTCATTTTTGTTGTAAATTAAATGTTTTTAAGCAGAAACACCTTTAAATATGTTCTCCATTTGGAGGGGCATCTGGGTGGCTCAGTTGGTTAAGCGTCTGACACTTAAGGTCAGCCCATGATCTCTGGGTTCGTGAGTTGAGCCCTGCATCATGGGAACAGGAAAATTAGCACTCCTGGGTCTCCAGTGTGCTGGCCAATCCTGCAGACTTGACTCACCGGCCTCTGGAATCACTGTTGTGTCCCTCTGGAGAACCCTGATACGAGGAAGAACAGGGGACTTGTCCCTTCCTGGTTTGTGTGTCTATGTGGGCACTGCTTCCTGTTTCCATTGCTCCTTCACTCCGCCAGTGGCAATTCCCTCTGGTAGCAACAACTGGGTCCAGCTGGCAGTTCTGTCATCATAGGGTCCTCCTTCTGATCCAGCCCAGCAGTGATCTCCTCTGCAGACGTCTGAATTCAGCCCTACAGGTGCTCTCTCCCAATGTCCGACCGTTTACAATTCTGTTCCCGCTTTGTAGCTTGCCCTGTGGAGGTGGGATAAACACTGTACCCCAAACAGATTTAGATGTTGAGACAGACGACACCACACGTCAAGGTGTTATGAAAAAGTTTATTATTCGCATAATGTGGCTCTCTGGGAAGAGCAATCCAGGCACCCCAGCCAGTCAGTTCATTCTGATTGCAAGGAGGGGCAAGTGCCCCTGATTTTTACTGTGGTTAGCGGTGTGGGTTTCCAGGGCAATGGTTTGCATGAAGTTTACCTCCAGTGCTGAGGGAGTACCTGGCTGTCCTAACAGCTGTCCCAGATGTGAGGCAAAACGGGGAGGGAAGGCTTGAAAGCTGTCCGTCGTCAAACAACAAAACTGGGGTCAGACTCCACTACAGTTCCGCCAGTCCTGGGGTGGTACCAGGTTTCAAGTCACTACCTCCATGAAACAGGAACATCTTCTCTCTGCCTTCTGAGTTACTTACATATACCTACTAAACACAGTTCTAAGTTCTTTTTCTTAAAATAATTGCTGTGGTGTTTGGCTCCTGACTATAATCTGGGTGATACAAGTCTTTTTGCTATTCTCAACAGGGTAATTAGCAATAACTTAATGTGTGTGACAGCTGGGCATATAAATGTTTACTCCCCTTTCTTCATGTACCTAATAAAATGGAATGGCTGGCTAAGCATTTCCATCTACACGATCCCATTTCTTAAACTTTTGATTCTAAAGCTTTTAACCTCACTTGCTATACTTAGCGGGAAAAGGCTAAAGAAAACAGATCTTATAATTTCCTATAAAATGCATGTCTTCCAGACGTGTCATTACACGGAGAACATCCTCATTCTTTTTAACCAATGTGCGGTGTTCCATCACAGATGGGACCAGAATCGTTCAACCGCTCCTTTACCAACAGCCATTTGTGTTGCTCCTGAGTTTTGTAGGGGAGGAAACTGAAGCCCTTGAGAGATTAAATGGCTCACTCTTAAGTAACATTTCAAAAATGATAGGGCCAGGATTTCTATAAAGTCATGAAAAAACAGAGCCCATGCTTAAAAACATTTTTATTTTTAGGTATTTTAAGCAAACAGTTAAAAAAAAAAAAAAACCCACACTATCCTGTTAATCTACATCAATTTTTAAAATGAAATAAAACACAACTGAATCTTCCCCGTACCCTCCCTGATTCCATCTGCAACTCCCACCCTGGAAAGGCAGAACACGATTTTCACACAACATTCTAATACATGACTTTATACTCATCATATAATCTGAATCCACAGGAATATATTATTGTGCAAAACAGTAACGACATTGCTCACCATGTGCCAACAATGCTTACATGCCAGCCACTCACCAAAACACTGTCCATGCATTATTTCATTAACCATCCCCCCCGCCCCAAATTACCTTGTGAGGTTGGCAACTACTATCTCATTTCATTAAAAAAGTGAAACACAAGTAAGTTTAAGTAATGTGCCCACAGATACACAGTATATTCAATGTGACATAAATGGGGTATACTGTATGTAGCTTCTGCAACTTTCTGCTGAGAAAGTTTTGATTTATCTATGTTGAAAGACGCAACTAGCTCTTTCACATTCACTTCCCAAAGTAGCAAGAACCCACTTTTTTGCTTTTCTGTTGATGGAGAGTTAGGCTTTTCCCATTCTTGCTACCTAAACAGTACTGCAATGAACAGTTTTACTGTATAAAAACAGATGTCCCTCCCCACGTGAGGTTCTAGATCTGTCCAGGAGTGGAGCTGCTGGTGATGCACAGGTGACAAGGTTTTGCAAGCTGCCTGGCACAGGCGCCATTACAATTTCCACCCCCACCAGTGAGCTCCTGCTGTCCCACACGCATGCCCATGCGAGGGCTTACAGAAACCCGTCTCCTTGCGGAGTGTGCGATAGTACATATTAGCCGACATTTCCTGTGCTTACCTCTCCGTACATGCTTCTGTGTGGGCCAATGGTCTGTCACTGAGGCTGGGATTAACAGCACTTGAACACCTGATTCAAAGACTTTCCAATACCTACTCTTCTCTGGGGGCTCCTGGCCCTCTGGCTCTCCCCAGCCCCAACTTCAGTTCTTCCTAGGCAGCAAGAGACAGGAAGGCAGGGTTCAAAGACGATTGCTTGATCTCTAGGGCAGGATGGGGCAAACTTGAGAACTGGTGGCTGGGGCAGTCAGAAACCATCACCTGGAGCTGCATGGCTTGGAACGGCCCGCCGCTGAACTGCTAACCAGTGTGCTTGCGGAGTGCCTCCAGTCCACACTGTACTCAGGCTCACTTCAAAACACTCCAATTTTGGGGTGCCTGGGTGGCTCAGTCGGTTGAGTGTCCAACTCTGGCTCAGGTCATGATCTCACGGTTCGTGGGTTCGAGCCCCGCGTCGGGCTCTGTGCTGACAGCTAGCTCAGAGCCTGGAGCCTGTCACTGGATTCTGTGGTTCCCTCTCTCTCTGACCCTCCCCTGCTCATGCTGTCTCTCTCTCTCTCTCTCAAAAATAAAAATGAAACATTAAAAGAAAAAAAAACCCATTTCAATTCTGACTTAGCCGAACTAAATTCAGTCCCATATTCCTTAACAGAGGTAATTTTGTACAGAATTTCCTCGGCACAGCAAGCAGATATAAGTACCCAACCCCAGCCTCCAGAGTGCCCTGTCTGGCTGCAATGACAATAACTCTTGGAAACGTGGGCAACACCTCACAGAGTAAGATCCAGGCACCAGGGGAGGTGGGACCAGGGGAGAGGCCTTAGATGGCTGAGGGGTAGGGAGGGCCAGGCCTTGAAGGGTGAGGGCCTGGGCCAGCATGGATAGGGTCTACACTTGTGGTGAAAGGGGGCAGCACAATGCAGGCCAGTCCCAGGGGTTTCAAGGGTTTACACCTGAACTTCTGATTACACTGATTACACCAAAATGTTTAGTCGGTAGCTCTAAGTAGTGAGACTTTTCTCCTTTTCCTTTTAGCTCATCTGTATTTACTAATCATTCTAGAAAAATAATGTCTTACTCATATAATTAATATTATTTAAAAATTCAGGTTATTGAACAGACTCCATCAGCACAATCCCAGGATATTAAAGACTTACCTCAACATACAGGGATTTCTGTTGATTTTTTACTTCTTTGTACATTTGAAAATCTGGTGTGAATGTTTAAAAATAAGTATATCTCACTTTATAAAAATGGCAGTAGAAAACCCCTATTGGGGCACGAACCCTCTGAGGTGACAGTGGCACAAGGAGTCGGGGGGTCAGTGAAACAGGAACAGAAAAGGGGTGTCTCCTTGGTTGCAGCACCAGCCAATTTGAAGCTGAAACTGCCTGGAGCTGCAGCTCTGTGAGAGCTCTGTGTCTGGAGATCAGCTGCCTAACCCGGAGCCTCGCACGCCAAGCCCTCTTTTGCCAATCCTAGGAATCAGGGGGCTTGGTGACGCGGATTTTACACACAGGATGTTCAGTGACTTGTCCAGGATCATCCTGCCAATAAAAGTCACACTGAGCCTGAACTCAGCTCTGGCAACTCCAAGGCCCTTCCCATGACCCTGGGCCCTCAGCACATGGGACCTGGTCCCTGCCCAGCCACTTCTAGAGCCAGTTTCTGATACTATGCCAGTGACGGGCCACCCAATTCCAGGCCGAGGCAGCTGCCGCTGTAGGAAAAGAACAGCAGAGCCAGAGTGACCAAACCTTCCTGAGAGCAAAGCTGAATGGGGACCAGAAGGCAAACACGGGTCTGCGGATTCTCCTTCTTCCCCACCCCTCCCTGCCTGTTCCACGTGACCTCACCACAAAGTATCGAAGGCTTCATTTTCACCTGCCCACAGCAATCCAGAAAGGGTAAGATTCCTTGGGCTCCCCTGAAAGCACACCTTCCAGGTGGGTTTCCTCTTACTACAAGAAACGGCCTGCTCCACCAGGGCACCCCGGCTCACAGCAGTAAAACCCAGGCTGAGATGGAGCTCTACCAAGTGAGTCATTTTATCCTCATATTCCTACTGTGAGCTCTTCAATAATCAGAAGCAATGGCTACTTAGGTAAGTTTTAGAAAAATCAGTCCTTTACCATCACACCACTGAGCTGATTCTTGCTGTTTAAGTCAGGCTGGCAAATGAGATGGGGGACCTCTCCCACCAGGCCACCTTTTCTCCAGAGGGCTTCAGTCACTTGAACTGGTTCCTTTGGGTTGAACCTGATGCCAGCACCGGATCTGACATGCAAAGAAGGCTACCTGAAGGTTAGAGGGTCCCTGTAGTGCGCACAAGTTACAGATGCAAGTGCAATACTTAAACAATTTACAATTGTTGTTGAGAGCTGTGAGTCTTGTAGAAAATTCAGACCCTCTGAGGGGAGAGGAGACTCCCTTTCATGGAAACTGGCAGCAGGGACAACTAACTGCATGAAAACCTCTCAGCTACATAATTTCACGGAGTCCTTGGGTCTGTGGTTAACCCTTGTAAATGTTAGTTCATCATTCCTAAACCCAAAACTGTTCCAAAGCTCCCTACCTCCGTGGCTCGCTGTGAGGCAGCTCCAGTCCTGGGGGGGGGGGGGGGGGGGGGGGACCCTGAAGCTCACACAGCCTGGCCCACCACCTCTCTGGGGCCCTGTCTTCTGCTCATTCACTCTACTTTAGCCCAAGGGCCTCCCTACTATTCTCCAAGCACCAGACAAGATCCCACCTCCTGTGCTGAACCAAGTACCACCTCTTCAGTTGAAGCCCTCCCTAACTAGCCTACTTAAAATCGCAGCCCACCTCCTAATCCAGCACTGCTTCACACTCTTCTCTGATTCATTCTGTCGTCAACGCATATCACCATCCAAAGTACTATGTATCTCACTGTTCACAGTCTGTAAAGATCCGAGAGAGCAGAAATTTTGTCTGTTCCGGTCGCTGTCTGGGCCTCTAGCACAAAACAGTGCCTGGCATCTGGGAGGTGCTCAGCACACTTCTGTTGAAGAGATGGCCCATTGCTGCCCATGCAGACTGTGGGTGGAGACAGCAATGGGGCACTGGAAGAGCCCCATTCTCGAGGTGATCGAGTCCAACCCTGCTCTCTTCCACGTGCCCCTGAGATAACTGTATGCCCATGGCAGATATCCAAAGCCAGGTGTGGGGCCCAAAGCTGCAGCCAGAACTCCCAGGAGGCAACTGGGGAGACTAGTTCTTGCTGCTGCTGCTGCTGCTGCTGAGACTAGTAAGATCAGATAGAATACGCACCACCACAGGATCCAACTGGCCGCTTCCCAGCAGCCCATCACAGCACAGATGTTTCATCAAACCACAGAGGGCAATGGTATCTGCCTTTAGACTGGGGGATCTCCAGGCCACTGTGCAAAGGCCACTCCTGAGGCCCATGCCCCAGAAGGGCCCCAAAGAACCGGCTGCTGTTCTTCCCCAGCATCACATTCCCTAGCAAGTGGGAAAGGGAAAGCCCTGGGTCTTTGATCTCAGGATTCTTTGCCACCAGCTTCAAAAACAGAAAGGGCTGGACCCTTTGTGAAGGTTTTCTCCACACTGCCCACAATCAAGGGTTCTCTGGCAGGGTAGCTAGGAACCCCTCTCCCCCCACTGTCAGACCGCAAGCTAATCTCTAACATGGTTTTTCATATGCCGAGCCAAATTTGAAGACCACCTGAAGGTCTTCCCACACTCTCTGCATTTGAAGGGCCTCTCTCGGGTATGAAATCTCTTGTGGCTCATGAGCTGTGAGCTTTTGCTAAAAGTTTTCCCACAGGTGCTACATTTGTGGCACTTTTTCCCAATGGGTACGTTCTGGAGTCCAGTGAGCCTGGAGCTCCGGTCACAAACTTCCTCAGAATCTTCAAGTGGCTTCTCCCCACTTGGTTTTAATTCCTGTAAACTCACCCCGGTGTCCTGGCAGGAAGATAACCCAGCCAGGCTGCATTCAGACTGTGCCATTCTGGTGTGTTTTCTTTGATGAATGCGGAGGGTATGTCTTCCAATGAAATCCTTCCCACACCACTGACATTTAAAAGGTCTCTCTTTAGTGTGGATTCTCTGATGATTAACAAGGCGATGTTTTCTATCGTAAGATTTCCCACACAGATTACATTTATAGCGCTTCTCTCCACTATGTATCCCCTTATGATCTAAAAGACTTCTTTTACGTGTAAAAGTCTTCCCACATTCTTGGCACCAAAAAGGTTTCTCCTCAGCGAGGATTTGTGGCTGCAGATTTGCAGTGTTTCCACTTTCATGGCATTCATACTGTTTTTCCAAAGAGTGAATCCTCTGATGTCGGGAGAGGTTAGAACTCCACCTGAAAGCTTTCCCACATTCCCTGCACTTATAAGGCTTTTCTCTGGTGTGAATTCTCTGATGGATGAGGAGGAATGAGTGATTACGGAAGGCTTTGCCACACTGGCTACATTTGTAGGCTTCCTCTGTGCTGCTCGGAGGAACTGGGAGCACTCTGTCCTGACTAAAAGATGGCCCATCCTCAGGTTTTCTCTGAATGGCATGCTGCTTCTTATGAGCAATAAAGGCTGACCGATGGGTAAACTCTTTTTCACATTCACTACATCTGTAGGGCTTCTCACCTGTGTGAATTCTCTGATGATCTATGAGAGATTTCTTCCGAGTGAAAGTTTTCCCACACTGCTGACACGGAAAAGCTTTCTCCCGAGCAGGGGAACCCTGGGGCTGACTGCAGCTGGAGGTCAGTCTGAAGTCCTTACGTTTGTCTTGATCATAGAACTTCTCTTCCTGGTGCATTCTCAAATGACGAGTAAAGTTTGATCTCCACCTAAAGGTTTTTCTACATTTGGTACATTTATAAGGTTTCTCCTGAGTGTGGACCCTCTGATGCTCAACAACATACGATTTACAGTGGAACGATTTCCTGCACTGACTGCAGTCAAACAGCTTCTCCCTGTTTTGGTCTCTCGAATGATGATCAAATCCTGAGCCACAGGTGGGAGTGTCCTCATACTGCCTAGACTCAAGAAATTTCTGCTTAGCATGGGTTGCCTGGTGTAGACGGTAGGCAGACATGCGTCTGAAAGCCTTGTCACATAAACTGCATTTATAAGGTTTCACCCCGGTGTGAATCTTCTCTTGGCGCACACAGTTTGAGCTCCACCTGAAGGCTTTCCCACACACCCTGCATTTAAATGGTTTCTCTTGAGTGTGAAGTCTCTGATGACACGCAAGCTGAGAGCTCTGACTGAAGACTCTTCCACAGTCACTACACTTATGTGGGGCCTCCACCATGTGAAGACTCTGCCCACGCTGGCAATGTGGGCTAAGGTTGAAATCTTTTCCACATAATTCCTTTGCATTCCCTTTTAGTCCAGCATGAATTCTCTGATGTAGGCTGAACCCACCAACTATGCACCTGAGCCCTTTCCCGTATTCCTTGTAATCATAGTGGTAGGAACCCCCCCGGAAGCGTCTGCCACAGCCATGTTTAAGGGATCGCTTTCTTCTGGGAACTCTCAAATATGCAGCATGTTTTAAATTAAGACTAGTACTTCTTCCTGACTCTTCAGATTCTTTTCCAGTCTTGTGACTGAGCTTGGTCTCTTCCTTCTTAACTCTTGTTTGTATGGGGTTCCCACATTGCTCCTTTAGCCTGCTCTTCTTTTCAAAAGACTCTCTGAGCCCGATTCCCTCAGAAACCCTCATCACACAACATTCTGATGGCACAGCAAAGGTTTCTGCTTCTTCCAAAGGTTCATGTTTTAAGATGAACTTGTTTGTTTTAATCTGGAGCTCACCTCCTGACACAAAATAAAACAAAGGACAGTGTACTTTTTTCCCATACTTGGAACTGCAGAAAGCACCAGACAAAAAAAAAGTCACAGTCTTGGGTGGTGAGGCCTTTGCCTGACCGCCAACACCTTTACCAAAGAATCAGGGAAGGCAAAACATGGAAGAGTGTCCCAGATGCCAGGGAAGGGAGGAGGAGAAGCAGGTGGGCACCCCAGCTAGACATACGCAGAAGTCACATCCCGTTGAACAACAGAGTTGGAAAGTGAGTGTTAGACAGCAAAAGAGGGGAGAGGAATCATGGCCCAAGAGGATAAGAAGGTCCCCAAGAGCCCAGGGGAGGGGATCCATGGAGGACTGGATGAAAGAACTGAAGGCCAAGCCTGTAGCAGGGGCAAAGAAGAGAAGTTGGAGTGGAATTAGTGCTCTTCATTGCACAAAGGGACGGGCGTGGGCCTACGGGTCAGCAGGAGTGCAACGAGGGGTGAGGAGGACCATCACTGAGTGGAAAAGACTGCAACAGTAAAGCCCTCCAGTGGGCGAGGACACTTACTGAAAGGGTTTCTGGGGGAAGGGGCAGGGCCAGAAACAAATGTCTACCAGGCCAGTCTGGACGGAGAAGCCCAGAAGCCCAGCACTCCTTAGCATCACTGTTAGGGATCCTCCTTCTGGCAAACAGTGAAGTTCCCTGTGATTTACTTGGCATAAAAGACTTTAAGAAAGAGAAGAGCTGGGGGTGCCCATGTGGTTCAGTCAGTTAAGCATCTGACTTCATTTCAGCTCAGGTCATGATCTCATAGTTTGTGAGTTCAAGCCTCGTGTTGGGACTCTCTCTCTCTCTCTGCCCCCCCCAAATAAGTAAATAAACAAACTTAAAAAAAAAAAAAGAAGGAAAGAAAGAAAGAGAAGAGTAGATGTGAGAGGAGCAGGTTCTGGAGGTTCTCTGGAACTCACCTGCAGGGGCAACACTTGGATTCCCCTTAGGCTGAGCTCCTTGGACATTCAGGCCCCATGGCTCCCTTGCCTCCAACCAGGAAATCAGAACAGGTTTGGTGAACGGCCCCACTGCAGAAGAGAAGGGAATGGGATGATACAGAACGGTGGATAAATCATGCAGAACTATTCTCCAGGACCCTCTCGGGCTTCAGGTCCTCGCAAGGATGAGGGAAAGGCCAGGGAGGCTGGTGGAAGAAGCTAGGACAGGAGACCCAGGCAACCATTTCCAACGGCACTGAGCAGAGATAAGAGGCTGAAAGAAGTCACAGCCAAAAGGCTTACTAGGATTCTCTGGAGGTGGGAGCCACATGACAACTCAATCAGTTAAATCAACCAACATTCTTTTGGATGTCTAACTAGAAACTTGACATATGACTTTTAATCTTAACAATAATCCAGCATGACAATCATCATTAGCACCATGCTTCAAGAGAGGAGACTGAGGTAACAGAGAGCCAGGATCTAAGTCCAGGTCAGGCCCCTGTCTAGGCACCATGATAAAAACTAAGAAGGCAGAAGGCAAAGTGGGTAGAAGTATGGGGAAATTAATGTCTTACCCAGAGAAACCATGTTCCCATAATTCTCCAGCATCACATCCCTATACAAGTTCCTCTGAGCAGGGTCCAGCCATCCCCACTCATCCTGGGAGAAGATCACTTCCACGTCCTTGAAAGTCATGGCCTCCTGAAAAACACAGTCCTAGGTCCAAGAGCCGGTCTAGAGCTCCCAGCTTTTATAAGGGGGTAGGCTCTGACACAAGACAGATCTGCAAAGGGTGAGCGAGAAGAGCATCACCCAGCAGAAGAGCTCTAAGCTCAAGGGGGATAATCTGGTCTCCAGGACATGGGCCTCTGGATGTGAGGTCACTGGACACAGAGACTCAAGATGAGGGGGAGCCTCAGCAACTCCATTAGGCAGCAGTGCTGGGGTGTCATGAAGGACCAAAGGTCCTGTGGCTCACCTGAGGCTGGGCTGTCAACAGGTCTCCTGGGCACCCTTCTCTTTGGGAAAGAGCAGGAGCCTGGGCAACAGGAGGCTCTGAAGGAGAAGAAAGAGCCATGAGAGAAGGTAACCCAGCTCTTGGCACCCCAGTGAGGAGGCCTCCTCTTCCCCCACGTAGAGGACTCTTGGGCCCAGGAGCAGGTATGGACTATTGTTAAACATCCATTTCACATTTCCCCAATGTCCACTGAGGGCTGAGAGGTGTAATGGGAGGTGGAGCTAGGTGGACATGGGTCACAGAAGGTAGAAAGGACACAAGCTAAGGGCCAAGATAGAAAGGGATTCTCATGAGAGGACAGATGGTGAAATGACAACACTAAATTGGGACGTGTGGCATATGGCTGGGGTCTAAGAGCCAGATGGCGAGTACCGGATTGCCCAGCCAGGAAGTCACACACTCCTATTTCATAGGGAGGCTCCAGGTGGTCCCCAAGAGTAGAGCTGCTCCTGAGAGGTGAAGCAGGGGGCCATATCTGTGAGGCTCGCAGGGTTCCTGTACCCATCCAACGCACATCTGGGCTCTGGGCAAGGGCTGGGTCCTGGCAAGAAGAAAATGTTGTGAGAGAATCCCCATGGGAATCAGAAAGCAAACTCAGAAAGGAGGCCACATGGCCAATCTTTAAGGGCAGCGACCCAGGGAAGGGAAGGGCAGGCCCTTTATGACCTACAAGTAGAGGGAAAAGGAGGAGGAAAAAGCCCAGGGGGGGCCTCCTCACCCCTCAGCCTCCCTGGCCTCTAGTGAGGACCATGAGGGAGACAGGTGGAGCCAGATTCCAGTTACAACACAGGAAAGTACCTAGCGAGGCAACGCTCTCAGGCCTCAGGTGCTGCACTGACACCTCCCCACTAGTCCTCAACCCCCACCTCTGGTCTGGAACTTAGAAATGAGAGAGAAGAATTTATTCCTGAGTTAAACTGATAATGGTTCACAAGAGAGATGCAGACATAACATCTACCATGTATCAGGGGCTGTTCTAGGTGGTGCTAAGCTAAGTGATTTCAAAGGACAGCTCCCAGACAGCTAATCTGAGGTAGCATGTAACATTGCCAGAGAGGCAGCACTACCTGTGAGGGTTGGCCACGGAACCATAAAAGAAAAAGTCTCAGATCCAAAAAATGGAAGTGCCCATCCAAGCAGAGACTTGGAAAGAGGCAACTTGCTCTGGGACCCTAATGGTTCCAGTCTCGGAGGCAAGGCTATCCCCGATGTAGAAATGAGTAGAGGAAGCTAATAGCTAATGAACTGTAAGTTTTTCCTGGTTCTGTGGCCAACACATTGACCTGGCTAAGAGGAATCTTAGTCTGAGGCCATTAAACATCTGACACCAAGCTATAGACTAAAGACGATGAACCTGGTCCTCCCAAACCGTACCGAAAAGAGAATAAAGAAATAATACAAGATGGAAGCACATAGCCCAATGAGTTTAAGGACAAACATTAACAGACCCTAGTTTCTCAATTCTTATGAACCATATGGTGATTCTGTAATTTTATATGCATCTTGAGCTTTCTGTTCATTTTTCAGAATTTAGAAGGTTCTCCCAACCTGTTTTGTTTTCTGATTCCTAACTACTTACAACAAGGTAGGCCCTGTCTGCACATTTGGCAATGTTTTCATGGATTTTTGAACTCTACCTCTAGCTCTAAATGAGTTAAATGTAAGCAAGCTACAATTAGGTATCTACTATGAACCTTATTTGCTTTAATAAATTAGTTTTCAATCCTTTTGAACATCTTGGTGTTTTGGAAAAATGATAAATGCTCTTTAAGATTTTTAAAAATAGTAACCAATGTTATGCAAAGAGGTTTCTTTCTTAATAGTCATACCTTGTATTGATTTATTACCATTTACTGCTGGTAGATGTTCAGTCAGATATGCTACTCAACTTAATTTTTGCATTATATTTGGGGAAAGAGTATGTCAAATATGGTTCAAAGATCTTAAAAGGCAGGGCGCCTGGGTAGCTCAGTGAGTTAAGCGTCCAGCTCTTGATTTCCACCCAGGTCAGGATCTCACGGTTTGTGGGACTGAGCTCCACGTCAGGCTCTGCGCTGTCAGCTTGGGAGTCTCTTTCTCTCCCTCTCTGTCGCTCCCTCACCTCTCAAAATAAAGGAATAAGCATTTTAAAAAATCTTAAAGGTAACTTTCATTTATGCATGCATCATATATGTAGACTTACACATATTTTTATTAAAAATAAATTTAAAGAAGCCTATAAAAATGATAAATGCTCTTAAAAAAAACAAACCAACCAACCTCCAAGCTACGGGAAGCACTGAGAAGCGAGCTCGTGTGGGGCAGAGCTCACTTTAACTGTCAGCTGCTCTGCTGCCAGCCGCAGGGCAGGCAGCTCTGTTTCCCAGCTCTAAGGCCAGAACCGGGGACATGGTAGGCACTAAATACACACTGAACAAATTCTCACTGTTACATCAGTTTTGCATTTCCTTTTCAATAAAGTGAGGCTCTGAAAGAGTGTGAGCAAGAACAATGAGGCTGTGGAATAAGTCCTCCAATTTCCTGGCCCTGGGCTGAACCTCAGTACTTTTCTTACCCTTGACCCCTGCAGAGAATAAACCCTCAAAAGCTTACTAAGAGAGAACAAATGTGTTACGAGCCCAATGCATTTATAGGTCTTAACATGCACGCAGAAGCCAAGACTCTAACAAGCAAGAGACATCACTCCCACTTAACAGATCAGAGTCGAGCCAAATGGGATCTGTGGAGACGGAATAGCATAATACAAGTTACTGTGTCCAAAAACTCATTACTGTCATCTATGGATACTTGCTGACCCTCTTCCTGGAGCTGACTGTCCTCTGAGAAGGAGAGAAGGGCTGCCTGCTACAAGGTCCTTGGATCAGGACCCAGTTCTCTGCTGCTCAGGTGCCATGGGAATGAGAAGGGAAGACATTCCCTGCATTCCTCAATGCTGAGCCTTCAGAGGCCCAATCCAGTCACTCTAGACAAGCCAGCTCACTGACAGGCAGAGTTCCCTGAGGACTGCACACTTGCTCAGACTCACCCTCCATGGTGACCCATCGATGTCCCTCTGCAGCTCTTCCAGCAGGGCCACAGCCTCCCCACCACTCTCTGGGTGATGCAGCTGCACCCAGGTCCGCAGCTCTCCAGGCAAGATGCTCAGGAACTGCTCCAGCACCAGCAGCTCCAGGATCTGGGCCTTGGAGAGAATGTCAGGCCTCAGCCACCAGCGGCAGAGCTCCCGGAGCCGGCTCAAAGTCTCTAGGGGCCCAGAAGATTCATGGTAGCGAAGCTGCCTGAAGAGCTGGCGGAACAGCTCCTGGCCAGAACGGTTGAGTGTCTGTGGCCTGGCAGCCTGAGCTGAAGTGTAGCCATCATCCTCTTCTTCCTTCTTGACCATCTGAAGACGCCCCTGTTTCCTTGAAGCCTGGGCCTGAGCTGGATGGACAGCATACCACCTGCCTGGAGGCATCACTCCTGTTCAGGGTCTAGCCAGCAGGGTGCAAACCAAGTCTATGTCAGCTGTGTCGCTGCTGGGATCTCAGGAGTAGCTTTTCGGCACAGCGGTGGGCAATGCCATTTGCTGGGACATCACACGTCACTGGTAAGAGACTAAAATAACCAATATTACAGTTCAGGAGGATGTGAGAGTGATGGTGCAGTTAGATGCTGGTAGCCAGGATCATCCTAGGATGTATGAAAAGAGGCCACATGACTATTTACATACGGATGCCTGCCATATCAGGCAGACCCAGGCTAGACTGTCACATTTTGGGGTAAACTAAGAAAATTTCCCAGAATACAGGAAAGCATGTACAGGGCTTGTATGCCCAAAATTACAAATGGCAGATGAAAGAAGCCAAAAAAGATCTAAATAAATGGATAGACACACCATATCATGTACTGAAAAAGCTGACAGAGTAAAGATGTCAATCCTCCCCCCAAAGGATCTACAGGTTTAATGCTATTCCTATCAATGTCTCAGCAAGGGTTTTTGTATATATAGACAAGATTATCCTAAAATTTATGTGGAAAGACAAAGGAATTCCAATAGCTAAAGCAATTTTTTAAAATTAGAATAAAGTATGGGGAAATAGTCTATTTGATTTCAAGACTTAGAGCTACAATAATCAAGACTGTGAATCCAGCAATTGCCCTAACAGGTATTTACCCAAAGAAAACAAAAATACTAATTCAAAGGGATAAATGCACCCTGATTTTTAAGGCAGTTTTGTCTACAATAGCCAAGTTATGGAAACAGCCCAAGTGTCTGTCAACTTATGAAAAGACATACAAAATGATGAAAGATGTAAAGAAGATGTGGTACACACACACACACACACACACACACACACAGGAATATTAGCCATAAAAAAGAATGAAGTCTTGCTATCTGCATGCAATAACATGGATGGGGCTTGAGAATGTTACACTAAGTGATATAAGTCAGCCAGAGAAAGACAAATACCATATGATTTCAGTCACGTGAAATTTAAGAAACAAAACAAATGAGCAAAGGGGAAAAAAGACAGAAACAAGAAACAGGCTCGTAACTACAGAGAACAAACTGATGGTTACCAGAGGGGAGATGGGTGAGGTATGGTAAAACAGGTAATGGGGGTTAAGGAGTGTACTTGTGACGAGCACAGGGTGTTATATGGAAGTGCTGAATCACTAAACTGTACACCTGAAACTAACACAACACTATATGTTAACTAACTGGTATTTAAATAACAACTTAAAAGACTGTGGTACTGGTGGAGGAAACAACATATAAATCAGACGAACACAATTATACCCAACTGATCTGTAATATCAAATGTGACCGTACTAATATTGTAATATAATACTTTAAAATATCTCAAATAAGTAACTCAAAAACAAAACAAATGCTGATTAGGAATCCCCTAAATAACTATGACCCCACCAATGGATTAAGAACTGTAATTTGGAAACACTAATCCAGCTCTCTACTAAACTTATTTCCATTGGTAATTCACCACAATGGAGGCTGTCCGAAGGTTCAAGCCACTTTCTGGATATAGCAGAGCTTAGGGTACAGAGTAGAGAAAATGAACTAAGACTGACCTGGATTCAAATCTATCTCCCCACTAACTGTGTGACAACAGATGCATCACTTTACCTCTTAAAATCTGTGTGGCCTCACTGTATAAAATGTGTGTGGTTGCGGGGTTTAAATAAACTACCTGGGAACATTTTGGGCCCTCACTGAATGTTTCTTCAGACCTGGGGAAAGAGCTTATCCCCACATCACAGCAGGCCACATCACAGCATAGGAATCTACTCTGCAGAATGTGCCCAACTGATTTTTTATAAAGGTGCAAATACAATTCAAAGGAGGAAGGAAAAGCTCCTCAGCAAATACTGCTGGAGGAACTGGACATTCATAGGCACAATAATGAGTCAACTTAAACCTAATTACCTTATACAAAAGTGAATTCAAAATGAATCACTGACTTAAATATAAAACATAAAACTATACTACTTTTAGAAAAAAGCACAGGAGAAAATCTTCAGGAGCTAAAGCCAGGCAAAGAGTTACTAGAATTGGGGGCGCCTGGGTGGCTTAGTCGGTTAAGCGTCCGACTTTCGCTTAGGTCATGATCTCGCGGTTCGTGGGTTCGAGCCCCGCGTCAGGCTCTGTGCTGACAGCTCAGAGCTTGGAGTCTACTTCAGATTCTGTGTCTCCCTCTCTCTGCCCTGATGCATTCCCTCCCTTCCTCTCTCTCTCTCTCAAAAATAAACATTAAAAATTTTTCTCAAAACTCAACAGCAAACAATCCCATAAGAAAATGAGCAAAAAACATGAAGATACATTTCACCAAAGAGGACAGAGAATAATAAGCACATGAAAAAATGTTCAACATAATTAGCAATCAGGGAAATGCAAACTAAATCCACAATAAGATAATCACTTTACATCTATCAAAATGGCTAAAATAAATAACAATGACAACACCAAATGCTGTCGAGGATATAGAGAGACAGATCACTCATGCGTTACTAGTGGGAATGTAAAATTGTACAGCCACTCTGGGAAACAGTCTGGCAGTTTCTTAACAACCCAACAGTAACTACCATACAACCTAGCAGCTGCACTCCTGGACACATTATCTCAAACAAATGGAAACTTATTCTGCAGAAAACCTGTACATGATTGTTCACTGCAGCTTATTCATGATAATCCCAAAAAGGGTACCACTCAGATGTCCTGCAATAGATGAATGGTTAGACAAATTGAAGCACAATGATACGATGGAACACTACTTGAAATAAAAAGAATGAGTATATGCAACTTGGATGCATCTCCAGAGAATGATGACAAGTTAAAAGAGCCAACCTTAAAAGGCTACACGGTGTATCATTCTACCTATATAATATTCTTAAAACGGCAAAAGTATAGAAATGGAGAGATTAGTGGTTGCCAGGGTAGTTGAGGACTGGAGGACAGAGCAGGAGGAAAGCACTGTGGTTTTACATAATAAAGAGCCTGACTTCATTTCTGATGTTTACAGACAGCTTTCAAGCCCATCACTCTTCAACTTGCCAACATCTGGACAAAGAAATAAGAAAGCCCAGGTGCCCCCTTAGTACTGGCAGGGAGTTCAAAGCACGCAAGCCCTGGACTATGTACAGAAAACCTCACCGAGCCCCACTCTAACCACAATAAAAGCCAAAGCCAGTCACCTCTCCTTGCTCTCTCAAGCCATTTTTTTTTCTTTTTCTTCTTTTTTACATTTTAAATTTTTTTAATACAAAGGATAGCTATTCAAATCATGCTTTACATTTCTATTTAAGTTTATATCGCACTAAAATTATTTTACACGAAGGGGTGCCTGACTCAGTGGCTCAGTCAGTTAAGTGTCCGGCTCTGGATTTCGGCTTGGGTCTTGATCTTGCAGTTCATGAGTTCAAGCCCCACACGGGGCAGACTCCACACTGACGGTGTGCAGCCTGCTTGATACTCTCTCTCTCTGCCCTTCCCCAGCTTGCTCTAAGTAAATAAATAAAACTTAAAATAAAAAATAAATTAGTTTACATGGAAACACAAGTTGATGTATCATGATATAATACCTTAGAAACATTCTTTGATATTCACATCTATATTAATGGATATTTCAAAGTCCACATGAATAAATTTTCTAAGTATATACCAGATCACCTAACAAAAACAAGTCTATAATGTTAATCTGTTTTAAGAGCAGATATTTAGTATTTATTATTATTTATCCTTTGGGAAATACACCAACTTTTAGAACACATTTAAGTCAATCATAGAACCTAGTAATAACATTTGAGCAACACCTGAAAATTCTTCATTAATGCTGAGTCTCTACAAGACTAATTTTTATTTATTAAATTATTTATTTAATGTTTACTTATTTATTTTTTGAAAGAAAAAGAGAGCAAGTAGGGGAAGGGCAGAAAATCCCAAGAGGCTCCATGTTGTTTGCACAGAGCCCAATGTGGGGCTCAAACTCATAAACTGAGATCATGACCTTACCCAAAATCAAGAATTGGACGCTTAACTGACTGAGCCACTCAGGCGCTCCTACAAGATTAATGTTTAAACACAACAATTATTTTATTTAAAAATGAAGAGGGGGCACCTGGGTGGCTCAGTCCATTAAATGTTTGACTTTGGCTCAAGTCACTATTTCATGGTTCGTGGGTCTGAGCCCCATGTCAGGCTCTGTGTTGAAAACTCGGAGCCTGGAGCTTGCTTCAGATTCTGTCTCCCTCTCTCTCTGCCTCTTCCCCCACTCACGCTGTCTCCCTCTCTCAAAAAATAAACATTAAAATTTTTTTTAAAAAAAGAAAAGAAAAGGTGTTAGTTCTTTTATCCAATGGAGCAGAATTATATAAAGAGAGATAATAAGAATAATCTTCAATTCTGGCTTCTAAGGTATGTTTCATAAAACTTAAACACTCAGTTTTCATCACTGTGTTGCAGTAACTAAGCCTGTTTATAATAATAATTACAATAATAATAACAACAACAACAACCAATGTTAAGAGTCCTTGAAAATCATGATTATTCTCAAAGCTTGGACTTAAAGCATGATGAATGAATGGCAACCTCCTGGATCCCATTTTAAGTTAGTTCTACTTCCAAATAACACTTTTAAACAGTTTCAAATAACTTATTAGCCAGCATCCGCTTAGGAATTTTTTTCAGTGCTCTAAGGCATAACTTTTGGTATCAAAAAGCACAGTAAGGATTTCTGATTAGTTATGAATAAAAAAAAACAAGAATTAAAATACCAGAGGTTCCTGTGACAAGGCAAATATCCCCTTCGAGTAACATTCCCTCCAAAACTAAAGAAACATTTTATTTCCCCCCTCTAAGAGCTTATTAGGGAAAACAAATCACAATGTTTTTAGCGGAAGTGAAAAGAACAACAAAACCTACTGTATAAGTCACATGTTGCAAAAGCCGTTACTTAAGAGCAAAATGCAGCAAGTGTAATTAAGAGATAAACCACAATATAATCCTTTCTAAATCTTATGGTGTCCAAAGACATACTTCACAGCCTCCTGCATGGTAAGACACTTTTCAGATTCTGGAAGAATAGTTCCTAATTGCATTT